AGCTCCTCCTACAGAAGGATGACTTTATTCTGAGAGCTGGGACTTAATATCTGCTAATCTCGTTTTATATCACTGCACATCTAATATCCCTGTGTCTCTCCGCTGTATGGTATGGCAACGCCATAGGACAAGCAGAGGATAAAGAAGGGGGGGGCGGTCCTGAATGGGGCAGCACCTAGCGTGAGAGCAAATCAGGAAATGGGAGGAGCTTAGCCGTCGTGACTAGACATTTAAAACCTCCTGCATTTATAATTCTGCTTCATGGAGTTTCCCTTTAAGCTAGTTATTATAGCTACGGTTATGTATGTTTGTTTTTCTTTTTAATAAATTCACCGCACTGAATTTATTAAAAATGAATAAATTCATCACCGCACTGCAGACTGCATTAGAAGTGTGTGCATGTGCGTCTGATCGCATCATCCACAGCCACAATAATCATTCCCTCCAGGTGCGGCTTCTCCGCCATTAGCGGTAATTAGAAAAGCAATCAGACGTCAGCTGTGCGGCCGCGTTTCCAGAAACTTCGCGGCCAGGACTCGATATGTTTCTAAAGTTCTTATTGTCCCGTTTCATGTCCCGTCCCACTCGCATTAAAAAGATTCCTTCCTTCTGCGCTTAATGTGCTTCGCCTTGCTGTTGCAAAGCATTTTCTCAAAAGAGAAGCATTCAGTTGCGCATGTTTATTTTTTTCTCACTATCTAAAAATTTCAAAGAATTGCTCATAATAAATCTGAAAAGTAGTCGGCATAAAAATTTACGGATTTTTTATTTTTTTGATTAGCAAATGATTAGCAGCCTAACCTAATGTTACTATTTAGGCGACTTCGTCCAGGTTATTTCAGTTTCAAATTATCTTTCCTGTTCGAAAAAATAAAATCGTGCGGACGCGAAACTAAAAACATTTTATTTTTTGCACAAGTCCCTTCAGGGGCTCCGTATCAATATGTTGTGTTTCCGATTCGATCAATAAATATAAAATGTATTTATTTTAAGCCTAAATTATCCGCGGGGTCGGTGTTTGATTTTTTCATTTCGGCACTGATTGGCTGACAGTCACCCGAGAAGACCCTCATTGGTCTATTAAAATGACACGTCAAACAAAGACTGCCCAAGACACAGAAATATTTTTTTTTTGACGCAATTATAAGCTTTAAAGTGCGGCAGTATTTTCCCTATCTTCTCCAAAAAGAAATTGACTAAACAGCTGTAGACAGATACAACTGCAGCTTCCCGCCACAGTCAGTAAGGGCAAGTGCAGGTCTTGGGGTTATGTGTAAACGCCAATGGCCCGGGGAGACTGACAAGGAGCTTCAGAGGTGAGGCACGCAATCGCGTCATTGGGTTAAATAGAGGCTAGCTGACAGCAGGCAACGAAAAAGCCCCTTCGAAACCTCGGTAGATCCGCTGATGCTGGGTGTGAGCCAAAAAGCACCTCGGGTGATAAATCTTGGCCGACCCTGGATTGGCTTCCATCCTCAATGGAGATTAAGTGGGTCAGCTGAGAGCATTTGGAGTTAGGGAGTATGAGGCGTGTCCCCTTTATAGGGTCTGACTCTACAGAGCTTTAAAATTAGGGCTTTCTGTTTGCTGTTTGCTTTTTTTCATCATAACTGCGAATGCCTGCCCCATTCACTCATTATAAATCTTGCCAGACCCAAGTACAAATAAATTCACATTCCAACACCACTGCTAGTTTCTGCAGTGGGGCTACTGGTGCCCTAGCAGGGGGTCTCTCGAGAAAGAGCCATCGTTTTGCTAGATATGTGGGGCAGTTATAAACGTGTCATGAGACATTTGATCCAGGTTTGATCTCGTGCCTCTGAAGCAGATGAGCTGTCTGTAAGGGCAGGCCAAGCATGGGGAGGGGGAATGAGGCAATCTGAGGATCTGTTATTAAGCAATGCAGAAATCCTCTCAGTGCCTCACCATGGTTTCATCTGCCTCTGGTGTGACCGGTTTGATGTTAGTCTGGCCCAGTGTCGTGCTGATGAGTAAACCGTCTTCATAGCTAACTGCTGCTAGGCCAGCAGGGGGCATAGTAGTTAGCCATCTGGGTGCCAAAGTCAGAAATTCACCAGGTGACATAGAGGGCAATGCTGTTAGACGCATAAAGAAATACTCTAGGACATAGACTTTAAGACTGGGTAATATGCCCTCCCCAAAAACACTGACTGCTTTACACAGCGCAGGTCACATGATGCTATACCAAGCATCTGATTGGGTGTTGATTCCGCCATAGAAGGAGCATGAAGATCACTGTGCCTGGGAAAGTGAGGCCGCAGCATGAATGAGTTTAAGGCCGCTGACGGAGGGAAAGATTGTTTGATGTCCTTTGCGTCGGCTTGCGCCCCTACAGCTTATCTCAATCAGAATCCAAATCATTTATTTATTGCCGAGTGCTTAGTTATTGTATGAGAAATTTACTTTGGGGTGTCGTGCAGGACAAACAAGGATAATCAAGACAATCAACGTATACATTATATACATAAAATAATGTGCAATCACAGGTTTGCATCAGCACTGGACTGTAGCCAGTGTACCAGATGAAGTGTTGGGTTCCTAACTCCGATTGTCTTGCAAAGCAAATGGAAAATTAGATACCATACCCAGAATAATAAACTAAACCAGGCATTCATTTTTATTTGCAATTCACATGCCGGTTGACGTGATTAATGAAAAAGCTGGCTCTTGATTTATTTCATTGTTTGTTTTCGCTGAAATGTGCGGTCCAACTAAAAGAAGGCACAAAAACTAAAACATTTAAAAATGTACGGCTGCAATGCGAGTTTTGCTGCATTGCAGCGAGTTACATCACTCTGCTGACCGATATAGTTAAGCGCAGCCACTGAGATCATTCTCCTTGTGAAAACTGAGAACACAGATGTGGGTTTAGTGTGTGTAATGCGGGGGGTGGGTTGTAGGTTCTGCTCCACCTTGCCATTACACATGCAAATGTGAACTAGCACTCTAAGTCTATTCTCTAAAGGGCAGACTCAGTAGGGCCCCTGTTGCTCTTTCTGTGGATGCTCTGGCTCACAGCTCATCCAATCTTAAATACTGTATAATATAACGATAATAAAACAGGCCCTATCGTTTTATTCGGTGCCCAGGAAACGCCACTGTCGCGTTACCTTTGAAATGAGCTGTCGTCTACTGCCATCTAGTGGACGAGTGGCAGACAGTCCACCCACGCGCCCAAACGCTTAAACACAGGGCTTTATAAGAAAAGCATATTCTAGCCCCTCGGTATGTGGTCTCTGGAGGTGATTCTAGGGACCCTGGGGGTCCTATACTGTCAGGAATAAAGGGTAACAATTTGTACCTTTGCTGTCACTGAGGCTGTACCCTTAAGGTTTAATGCACCTTTTAAGGTACAGAAATGGACTCCGAGGAACATTTCTGTACAACTGATTGTACATCAATGTTGTTTGTACCTTGGGGAGTCCATTTGTGTACCTTGAAAGGTACATTTTACCTGCAGCTAGGGTACAACTGGTAGACCCTTGAGGGTACAGCCCCAGTGACAAGCAAAGGTACAGATACAGTAAGTGCTCTTCTTTTTCAACAGTGTAGCCGAAAAAACCCCATAGGGCCCTCCGATGCCCCCACCCGACACGGGAACATTTATGACCAATTATTTAGTGTGAGGTCTGAATTAATAATATTAACAAAGAAAATTTAATAAGCGCAATTCATTTATTTTCACTTTACTGTGAAAAACAGAATACCTAAATAAAGCAGATTTGTCGCTTCAGTGTATGATGTAATCAGCCGCCTCGGGGACCCCAGGGAATTGCCAGCTTTGTTTGTCTAGTCCCTACGCCTCTCGTGGTCTCTGACATGCTTCACAAACTTATTTTAATATGCATTTATTTTTAAAAAAAATTGTCAAGAGAAAATATTTAAATTTATCTTATTTCAAGCTGCCACATTGACAATATAAGTTTACGTAAATCAAATATTTTACGAAGATCGAAAATCGGTGTTGGCTCAGAAATCCATGGTCACTGGAACGATTTCAACCCCAATTTTGAATTTTGCCTAGTTGAGTCCTTGACATCTGTATGTTGGTAATGTGCTGTGTGCTTCACTTCTGTGTCTCTTCGGACAAAAGCGGCTGTTAAATAAGGCAAATGTAATTAAAGTAAATGTACATACACTATATTACCAAAAGTATTGGGATACCCCTCTAAAAGATTGAATTCAGGTCTTCCAATCACTTCCATAGTCACAAGTGTATAAAATCAACCACCTAGACATGTAGACTGCTTCTACAAACATTTGCGAAAGAATGGGTCACTCTCAGGAGCTCAGTGAATTCAAGCGTACTACTGTGATAGGATGCCACCTGTGCAATAAGTGCATTCGTGAAATTTCCTCGCTACTAAATATTTCACGGTGAACTGTTACTGGTTTTATAACAAAGTGGAAGCAATTGGGAACAACACCAACTCAGCCACGAAGCAGTAGGCCACGTTAAATCACACAACGGGGACAACGCATGCTGAGGAGCACAGTGTGCAGAAGTCACCAACTGTCTGCAGAGTCATTAGCATGACAACATGACTGTGCACCAGTGCACAAAGCAAGGTCCATAAATACATGGATGAGTGAGTCTGGTGTGGAGGAACTTGACTGGCCTGCACAGAGCCCTGACCTCAACCCGATAGAACACCTTTGGGATGAATTGGAGCAGGGACTGTGAGCCAGGCCTTCTAATCCAACATCAGTGCCTGACCTCACAAATACTCTCCAGGAAGAATGGTAAAAAATTCCCATAAACACACTCCTACACCTTGTGAACAGCCTTCCCAGAAGAGTTGAAGCTGTTATAGCTGCAAAGGGTGGGCCAACTCAATATTAAAGCCTATGCATTAAGAATGGGATGCCATTGAAGTTCACGTGTGTGTAAAGGCAGGTGTCCCAATACTTTTGGCAATGCAGTATATACAAACGAATAAAATGGGACGCCCGTTTTCCTTTCACTCTGGTGCCCTCTTGTGACGAGGCAGCACATCCACAGCAGAACAGTTAGAGCTGAGTTATTCGCCGTCTTTTTATCCATTTTTATAAGAAAGGATTGACGTTAAGTTACATTGTTTCTGTTGTAAAATACGTTGATGTATGTTAAATAATTGCATGCACTGACTTGGTTTATTAGTAGCCTATATTTTTATCGATTGCTACCTAGTTTGTTCCTGAGCGGTTTGTTTTGTAAGAAAATCTGTTTATTGCCACATTGTATTTATTCGACAAAGCGTTAGCAAAATACAAAGTAACAAGTAGGCTTATATATACGTTTTCACGCTAAACGAACGTGTGTTTTAACGGGAAGCGGCTCTATTTGGAATTGTTTGCGTTCAATCTACCAACATTTAGTTTGGAGGAACATCAGCAAAGACCGCTGACAGCCATTTACAAACTTTACTGGCGGATTTGACGTGTTTGTAAGATTATCGCATTTGTTTTCGACCTCGTAGATTCAGGATAAGTAAGAATAGGCAGTAAATAATAAAGCACGCCCCCAGCAACAACCCCCCGTCGGGAGCGCGCGTCAGAGTCCGCGTCCTGAGTTACCGACGCACCAAACTTTGCCCGGCGAATCTGGAGCTCCTGGCACCTCCGAATTTCAGCTGAGTCTCATTCGCTTGCTCTTGGTTCGTCACTCCCATCACGCTTTTGCCGTGTTTTGTCGGCGCTTGGGACTGTCCCATCCGACGTGTCGCTTCTTATGGTCCGAAAGCCAGTTCAGGATGCCAGAGTCGGCGGGGGGATCCGCCGGCCAGACGGAGCCTGCAGGACGGGAAGACGGCAGAGGGGTTCAGGTGTGGCCGGACGGCTGCAGGTACGATGGACAGTTCGTGGAAGGACTGAAACAAGGCATCGGGGTCTTCACCTGGCCCAACGGAGAGGTGTGTGCAACTAGGGACACGTTTATGCCTTTTATATAATATACGGTAAACCTATATCACATACATTAAATGTTTTGCGTGTTTATATAGGCCAACATACACGAATGATGCGAAAATGACGATAGCAATCTGTCATTTTCTTCCTTGGTGTGAGCTTTCTTCTACGCTGGAATTAAGATTTTATGAAAAAGTTACCCCCTGGGGGTGGGTTAAATTACTGTTATCCAGTCGTAACTCGGTTGTTCATAGTGACCGTCGGGCTGGAGAATAATGGAGCTATATGACACTAACATGCACGCTAGATGTCTTAAAAAAAAATAATAAAAAATCAAAACCACAGAAATAGATGTAATGCTGGGACTGCGCATGCGCCATCGGTATCAGGCCTCGCAGGCCTGAACCGCTGAAGATCTTGCACACCTGTCGCTGTGCATCCCTCCCTGTCGCTGTCCTGGGCAAGGGGCTGTCCATAGTATGTTTTGTTTAAGGGCAGATTTACACATGCAACCAAACAAGTCTGTTAATCTGCTATCTGACTTATTGACATTAACAAGCCATTTTAACGCCAAGGATTCATCTGATTTGAATGCTTCCAAGTATGTGGTAAAAGTGAGTGTAAAAGGCTGAGCCGATTGAGTTTACAGACCAGAATTGAATTTGAAAAATGGAGTCAAACAGGGCTGTGCTGTTTTTACTAGCATGTAGTCAGCGGGGAGCTTTGGCAGAAGGTTGCTAGTTGATGTTTAGAAATGTGTGTTTTTGTTAATTAGCATGGATTTTTCTCTCTCTTTTTTTTTTTAATCTCGAAGGTCTACGAGGGCTCGTTCTACAGGGACTGCCGGCATGGGGAAGGCGTGTTCTCCTGGCCGGGGGGGTCCAAGTTCGTAGGGAAGTTCTACCTGAACCAGAGGGAAGGCTATGGCATCCAGGAATTCCCAGACGGCACCGTATTCCAGGTAGATTGGAGGGCGGGCTTGTTGATGACGGCGGAGTGACAGTACCACGCTGACCTGCCTCCCCCCCTTCTCAGGGCCTGTATCACAGCGGCCAGCGGTTCGGCCCGGGTGTGACCACCTACCCAGATGGCCGGCAGGATGTGGGGCTGTGGCACCGAGACAGGCTGCTCAGGCTTTGCCGGCACCTGCCATGCGGAGTCACGCTGAGTGACTTTCCAGAGCATGTGGCTCTGCTCGGAGGGGGGGTGGCTGCCCTGGACGGGGCAGTGCCCAGGCAGGGGGGCAGAGAGCTCCCCTGTGCAGACCCCGCCCTCCCATCCGGCCAGATGCTGGGGGACGCTCGCTTTGTCTTGCCCCCCGGGCTGCTGGGATACTCTGTGGACTCGGACCACCTGCCCCTGGTGAGGTGCCTGCGTGCCGAGCTGGACCGCCTCTTCTTCGGGGGGCGGGGCGGGGAGCTGGATGATGACCTCAACCTGCCGCTCGAGTTGAGGATTCAGGAGCACGTGCACAGACACAGGTAGGACTGTCACCTGACACGGGGGGGGGGGGGAGCGAACAGGACCACAGACACGGGAATGAGGCACAGGACCACAGACACGGGAATGAGGCACAGGACCACAGACACGGGAATGAGGCACAGGACTACAGACACGGAGGTGGTAGGGGCACAGAGGACTACAGACACATGCAGGTGACACAAGGGGCCCAGCAGTACCACGCGTAGAACCACAGGTAACTGACATAGGGGCCCACAGAACCACAGACACAAGCAGGATCAGAGGCAACAAACCAAAGTTAGATCAAACCCTGCAGGTCCAACAGCAGTTACCTGCCTGGATTGCTAAGCCCTGGTATCCTGGCTGGTCTCTCACTGCCTTCCCCCTCTCCTTGCTGGCATAGGTTCGAAGCGGTGGCCCTAGACTGGGATGTGGCCGCTGTCCTGGCAGGGACCCGGGAGCAATTCAGCACCAAGGGGCCCCGGGAGGAGAGTGCGGAACGTTTCATTCTGGGGGCGGCGCAGGGGGACTGGCAGAGCGTTTCTGGGGCCCTGCGGGCCGCGGTGCACCCCGACGTGGCTGACGCCCGCGGTCACACGGCCATCCTCGCCGCCGCGGTGAGGGGACAGTGCGATCATGTGACCTCATGGCGTGGCTGAGACGACAGAGCAAGATGGGGTTACGCCTCTTCCCCCCCTGCAGGTGAATTGCCACCGTGATGTCGTCCATGTGCTGCTGGACAGCGGCGCGGACGTGAACAAGCTGAGCGACGAGGGCGTGTCAGCCCTGGCAGCGTGCCTCCTGCTTTACTACCCCGCCCACACGCTGACTGAGACCCTAGCCGAGCGCCCCCCCAACAGGGGATCCTCTCCGGCACTGATGGAGGTATGGCCGCATCCCTCCAGGGGGGCGGGGGGTTCTTAATGTCCATCACTCCTTCATGAAATGACACTGACACCCCCCCCTACCATTTCTGCAGGATTTCCCAGACAGTGACGGTTCCTCCTTCACGTTTGAGGGAAAAGTCATGGGGGCTGCCACTATTAGTCAATCAGAACCTGAGAAATGTGTCCTAACCACTGGGGGCAGCAGCGAGATCGATCACACTGGCGAAATGGACCATACAATGGACTTTGGAGGCACTGGTAGATATGAGATCGATCATGTTGTCACTACCAAGGCTGGCTGCATTGTCGACCATGATAATGCAGTCGACCCTGGCAGCGAGATCGACCGTAATAATGAGGTCAACTTTGACAGCAGCATTGACCACGATAATGTAGTCAGCCCTGGTAGCATGATTGACAGTGATAATGAGGTTGACCCTGGCAGAGATATCAACAGTGACCAGGTCGACCATGATATTTGGGCAGACTGCAGTGGCAATATTCACCTCCGTGATGTCACTGAGGCCAGTGGTGAGGTCACCCTCCACGAGCAGGTGAACCTGAAGCACGGTCCCACACCGGCGGCCCCGTGCAGGTCCCATGGGCAGCTGGGCCGCTCCATCCGGGTGCTGGATGGCTGCGTCTCCGTGGGGTCCGTACCCTGGACCCGTGCCACTGGGACAGAGGGGGAGAGCGAGACCGATGACGACGCTTTCGAGTCCGTGTGGTCCCTGGCCAGCTTCCACGTCCACGTGACGGAGGAGGCCTTCCAGAAGGCCGCGGAGGAGCTGAGCCATGCTGACCTGGGCAATGCCGAGGAGACTGTGTGGAGGATGGCCCACATGAAGATGGAGTGAGTTGGGGGGGGGATTTCCATGGTTACTGAACTGCCAATCATAGTGAAACAATAATAAAACACAGACCAAAGCACAGCTAAATATCAGGTTATCCTAAAATCAGTCCTCCCTGCCTCTTCCCCGAGCAGACACAGGGAACTGTGGGCCACCATCGAGCTGCTCCTGGCCAGGGGGGCTGACCCCAATGCCTGCAGGGTCCCTGTGCCCGCCCTGTTCCTGGCCATCAAAGCTGGCCACGTGCAGGGTGTGCGGCGCCTCCTGGAGGGCGGGGCCCGCACTGACATCCCGTTGCCGCCTGAGGTGCCTGAACTGCCGCGCTGTGGCTTTGGTGGACGTAGCGCCCGTGTGTCCGAGTTCAGCCAAACAGGGCAGCTGGTCTGTTAAAGGTGGCCGTCACCTGACCACAGTTTATTGAGTGGTGTTATCAAAGAGCTCAGCTGGTGCCTAGAATGTTCCCCATTTCATATTCTGGTTCATGTACTTAAATTCTTCTCCAGAATAAATACTGTAAATGATATGGATACTTTTTTAAATGTTATTTTTAAGATGGACGAGCTTTGGCAATCCAGCTGCCTTGTCTGGCCCTTAACCATTGCGCCACCTGTTGGGCCTAAGCTGCACTGATGCACAGCATATCTTTGTGTTAACCCTGGCTCTCCAGCGCAAAGGCCTGTACCCCCTGCACGTGGCGGCCGGCCTGCCGGGCCCTGAGGGGCCCCAGATCATGGCGCTGCTGCTTGCCACTGCTGCTGACCCCGATGTTAGGGCCCAGGATGGCGATGAGGTCTTCGAGCTGGACGGTGTGGCTGGGCGACCGGGCTCCTCCCCCGCTATCGTTGCCCCTCAGAGTGCCGCCGGGTCGCACTCTGGATCCAGAAGCACCACGGCCAGATCCTCTGGACCCTGCATCCTGCTCAGGGAACCCCCCGAGGAAGGGGGGAGGACAGCACTGCACATAGCTTGCCAGAGGGACACAGATCATGCTGTAAGTTCTGAGACTGGCTGCCATTCCTCCGTCTGTAGCTAGGGGGTGCTCCTGAACACCACACCCTAGTGCAATTCTGGCCTGATAGTAAAGGACGCTATTAACACTGGACTAAAATGTGGGCATTTCAGTCGATGGAGACACATTTATTTGAAGACGATTGGTTGAGCCGCCCTGTGTGTTTCAGCACGCGCGAGACGTGGTCCGCATCCTGCTTGCGCACGGGGCCAACACTGACCACCTGTGGAGTGGCCACTCTCCCCTCTCATTGGCCATCGCCAGCGGCAATGACCTGGTGAGTGACACACAGCTGTCCAATGGTTTTCCTGTCAAATGAAGTGGGAGGATCTGAGGACTCAAAACAGATGTGTGCCTGTGCTCCGCCCCTCAGGCTGTGGACGAGTTGCTCTCCGGGGGCGCGGACCCCAACCTACCTCTGGCCCGACGCTTGGGCAGCGCCTTGTGTGCCGTCGCCAACATCGTCTACGACTCAGGGCAGCCACGGCGGCATAAAAGTGGGCTGGTGTGTCAGAAGTCGCCGCTGTGCCCCTGTGAACAAGCTTACGGAGTGTGTCTGCCGGACCCTTCCCTGACCTGGCCACCATTCTGTCCCCTTCAGCTGGAGAAGCTGGTCAGGGCCGGAGCGGACATCTTGATGCCCGTGGAGGTGAACATGGGCAGGAGCAGCGCCATGGGCACGGCTGTGGATTACGCCCACTACTCCTGCCAGCAGGTACCCCCTGACCGAGTGGGCGGGGCTACTTTATGTGTTCAGTAGGTTCAAAGGCCCGGTCAGTCACCCTATCGCCCTCACCCCCGCAGGACAGACGTCTCACTTGCACGCCGTACCATGCCCTGACCCCCTCCGAGCGCAAGCTGTACAACTCGCGTTGCCACCTGCTAGACCAGATGGGTGACGTGATGAGGCAGACCGCAGTGCGGATGGAGCGCCGGCGGCTGGAGGAGGAGCAGAGGCAGGGTGTCTGCAGTGAGTCTCTAGCCTTAACTATAAGTGTATTCCTGCTTCGGGATCTACGTGGCCATTTTGGCTCTACCTGGCCCTACAGCCTGCTTTTATGGGGGCCATTTTGGCTCTATCTGGCCCTACAGCCTGCTTTTATGGGGGCCATTTTGGCTCCATCGGCTGTCTAGACAGGCTATTTTCATATGGCTGGTATTATGGCTCTACAAGTTCTTTATCTGCAGGGAGGGTGGAGTCATACTAGTTCTGTTAGCTGTGCAATTAGCTGTGCTAATATTCTTCCTTTCAAGCTAAAGCTTCTGTATGTCCCTACAGGTGTCAGTCCAGTGCAGAAGTTTCTGTATATCGGAGCAGGGGCCAAACCTTCCCAAGTGTCCCAAGGAGAAGTCGTTCCAGCGGGGAGCCCTATGTACGTCAGATACTCCTACTCAGCGAGGAGAAGCCTTTGCTTCAAAATCACCATAAAAAAGAGAGACAACAGTTTGTGCACAAAGATCTTAATATGATACTCCTTATTCCTTAATATGCAAGTGCTCCCTCTAGTGGCTAATTGATATTCTTCTACTTTCAGTTTCACATGTATTTTCACTATCTGTGATTCTAAACAATAATACGTAGCCATTGAATAAGTGTTTCCTGTCTTCTAACAGACTGAGGAGCAGAGCCCAGACAAAGACCTACATCAGGTAATCACACTTCCAGCTGGGTGATGTGTTCTGTGACACGGAGGTTAGTTGCACCCTGGTACCTTTTGTTGTTCTGAGGGCAAACAAGAGGCTTCTTACTGAGCTTTCACAGAGGAACCCCCAGTGCTGCAGGTTTTTTTGTGGGAATGTGTAATACCCAAAGTGACCAGAAGAGGACATGTCAATAACATCGAACATTTTTTTCAATGTCATACATGGTGTTGAAGATGTCTGTGGGTTTGTATTACTCATTTGTGTGCACTGCCCTGCCCCCTTGTGGCGGTCCACAGGAAGCCCTTATTCAGCTATTGCTATCAGTGTGGCCGCTCCGTGGGCGTGACCCTGAAGGCCTGCACCCGCTGCCAGGAGGTCAGTTACTGCAGCGAGGCGTGCAAGGTGAAGTCCTGGAGCAACAGGCACCGGGAGGAGTGCATCCGCCTCACGGGTCAGAGCCGCCGCCGCCGCGTGTGGCGTGTTTGTCAGTGTGTTACCCGAGACTAATAAACCCGGAAAACAGACCATATGGACCATTCCTACCGAAAAACCCATTGGGGGACCACCTGCTTTCCTTAGGGACGTGTGGCGAGATCCTCTGAGAACTTTCTGGAAGATCGGAGTAAGATTCCGGCATGTGCCAGGACTTATGAATACGAGAGTGTATTTTATCCCCAGAGTAGGGTCTTTCTGGAACTTTCCTAATGGAATGCCGATGCATCCGAGCCCCTAAAATGGCCTATACTGCATTTATACAAATGACAGTCAGGATACCAAGGTTTAAGCTGGCTGTGGGTTTCCTTTGAGACTCCAGAGTGACCCAGAGACGCGCGGACAGACGAGGAGGACCTGACAGAGAGGCAGCTCAAGCCGAGGCCCGAGGCACCATTAGAGAGCATCAGGGCACAGCCGCAGACCAAGGCAGACTCAGAAATACACCACGTTATTCAGGGAATCCCAGGAATTAATTTTGGCTGCTGTCTTTGGAAGGTGGCAGCTGGTCTCATCTCAAGCAGCCAAGAGCTATACTGCCCCACGAAGGCAAAACACAGTAACTAGGCAGGTAAATGATAGAGTACTTATTCAAATCTGAGCATAGCTGAAGTAAGATATTCTGTCACAAGATAAAACAGCCTAAGAGACCCGATTTGGGTCATAACCTGTGTTATAGTTTAGATTTTTTTTCAATTTTAGTTTTTATTTAAAATTTTCATTTTAAAAAATCAATTTTTAGTTTCCATTTTGGCTTTATTAGTATTTTAAAGAAATTTCTGTTTATATTTTATTTTGTTTTAGTCATTTTATTTCAAGGGATAAAGTTGTAGAGCTGTTTTATGTGTCTGATCTCTAGAGAATCCTACATGAATACAGAGAATCCCTGGTGAATATACAGAGAATCCCTGGTGAATATACAGAGAATCCCTGGTGAATATACAGTGAATCCCTGGTGAATACACAGAGAATCCCTGGTGAATATACAGAGCACATTATGTGGTAATGTCCTCAGAATGGACAAACCATGTGCCAGGTTGACAGCTTTCGCACGTCAAAGTCGGTCGAGAGGTACTGCAACACGGAGTGATTCATAGGCATCAGCATCCCACTAGGTCTGTTTGCCTTTCTGTCAGCCCATCAGAGATGCATCTCGATCCGTGCAAGCTTCATCAGGTCCGCTTTGTTTTATCCTATTCTGAGTTTTTGGTCGAGCTGCAGTTAGATTTTTTTTCATTCGACCCATTCGAGGTCCATATTGGTTGAACCTATATAAGTTTTAACAGGAACAGTTGAGTTCCAAGATTTCGGCTCAAGGTACAAGAGAAAAAAAATTCAACAGAACCATTCCATGACCGAATTGGCCGAGTTATGAGGTCTTTGAATTCCAAGGTTCCACTGTACAGTGGAAACCGTTTATAGTGAACATGGCTAGTGATCAACCGTTTATATGGATCAAAAAGCTTAGGACAGAAATATTTCAGTAAAAATACTGTTTGAATAATTCACTTATACTAATCAAGTAGTCCGCTTACAGTGTTCATTTTGGGTGTTTTTATACATGACAACATATGGAAATAACTGGTAATTCTTTTTTTTTTTTTTTTTTTTTTTTATTTGATTGCCCTACTTTTCATTGCGGTAACCCGTCTGCTTCTGGCTACCTGAGGTTAATGCAGCGTGCACAGAAAACATGACGGGAAAAAGAAAGTCTTTTTCTCTCTGACCAATATAGACTCATCACAGCTTATGATAAAATGCCAGAAACGAGCCACCGAGATGCAGCAGCCAAACTACAATAAGCGCTTTGACATAATGTAACATGGTGAAAGTGTGCTGTACAAATAAAATTGAATTGAATATTTATGTAGAGTACTGTACTGTACTGTATTATAGTATGAATTATACAGTTCAGTAATTTCATTTGTACAGTACTGTAATTTGAAAAGCATTTGAAACAGCTGTACTGTACTGAAATCGTCAATAAAATTCAGTAAATAGTGATGCTGCCCATTTTATTGCATTATATTCATGATATATACAAATGTCAATTAGTTGGTAATCTGTTTCAGACACCAAGAAAAAATTGGTTATAATCATCCGCTTATAGTGATCAATTTCACCCAGACAGACGCGCTCACTGTAAGTGGTTTCCAGTGCATTTGACATTTGACATACTGTGAACTTTTGGAAGCAATATTTATAGTTTTCGTTGTTAGTTTTTTTTCTCTTAGCATATGAAAATGTCATAGTTTTACTTTCATTTTGACCCTGGGCATAACTGATTTCATAAAATATGCAGTTAGTTGGTTTGCCTTTAGAGGCAGAAGAGAGTCACATCATCAAGGCTCAGGTAACTGAAGATCAGTCTTATTTTCACAGGTTGGGTGAAAAACAGGAACAGCACACGGGACAAATCGAGAACCGCCCCCGCTGTTCTGGGGAAGAAGTCACCATCCGATCCCCCGCGATCGCTGCCGCTCACTGCTAACTACAGCTTCATCTGAGACTCGCAGTTCTGTGAGTCAGCAGACTTATCACATGACGTGGCCGTCCAATGAAACAAAAGCAATCGGGGCATTCTGAGGTTCCAAAGAATCTTTGGAACACTGCAGTGATCTGAAAATAACGATACAGCCGCACTGTGAAAGATGTTCAGTGAATTTCCTTCCCCTCTGGATGATCTCACGTTTACCGCGAGGCGCCGATCTGGCAAGGAATGTCACTCTGCTCACGTCACAGCTAGGGCACGAGTCGGGCCTCGTCGAAAACTGGCTCCCCTTGTGCATGAGTGACGCACGTTACACTTTTCTGCAAACAGCCTTTAATTGGCACATAGTGTATATATGAGTATACAGCCATGTACAGGAAGTGAACGTGAGTACTGAGCGTGTGGAAAAAGCACTGGAACAACATACCAGGGTTCCTCCAATTCTGGCAGAATAAATTTCCATGACTTTTCCAATACCATAAGAAAATTTTCCAAAGCCCACAAGTTTGTAAAACTAAAGTAGATAGAACAGTATTTGTATAAAGTAGTTAACTATTGAATTTCATATGAAGCGGGAAACAAAAATGAACACAGTTTCCAAAACTTTTCCTCTCTATCCAACAATTCCAAAACTTATCCAGGGCCTGGAAAAATTATTTTAAAAATTCCAAAACTTTTCCAGGTTTTCCATGCCTGCGGGTATCCTGACATACACAACTCATACACATACTCATACAAAGCTCATTTGGGCTACGTTACTCACTGAAATGTTAGCTGTATTAACTATGCTTACTGAAAGGCATGAAGTTGGGATATATATATACAGTGTTGTGTGTCTTCAGAACATGTACACTCTCTTGTTTAGGGTAAAAAAAGATACACAAGTGTCTGTTAATGCACAAGTAATCATTACTCATTTTTAGAGGCACTATAACTGCTGTTGTGCCTTTAAAAGAGTACTTGAATTTTGCAGTAGATAACTCCATTTGTTTACTCTAGTGTCATAACATTTCTAGCATGTAAATCAGTTCTGAGGTTGACCTTTCTACATACTAACCAAGGATATTTTGTTTCTTCCAACCCTCTGGAAAATAAACAGTATAGAGCTTTACCACTTCTTGTCTTTCATAATGTGCTGTAGTAATGAGCTGAAACTCACTGGCTATTTTACAGGTGGCTCAGGGCATTAGAGTTAGGGCAGAGCATTGGGATTAGGCACATCAACAACAGATGGTTCACCTCACCAGCAAGGCAATGAAATAAACAACAAAACCGATATTATAAAAGAAAGTTTAGGCAGTGGTACATTTGAGTGACAGTTATCACAGCACTTTTGAAAATCCCTAATTAGCACTACACAATATATTCTCGAGTGGTGTCGCATTTTGATGATGTCATTTTACGACGTGGGAAAGACTGAACAGTCCATTACTGGGCACTACTGGCATCACTGGGTCACTGTACAAAACACCGACTCTACAGGATGGTTACATTACTTAGAAAAAAAGGTAACCTGTGACAATTGTCCTGTCTAAGTGAGTGATTTTTTTTTTACACATTACAACAAATCAGTTCTTCATCTGTGACAAAAGTGACAAAAGGCCGCATGAGGAGGAGGAGGAGGTGCCAGCTTCACGACGTCCACTGCAAACACTCTGCACGGGGACCACAAGCAGCAAAACAGCAGCAGGACCGACTTGTGTGTTGGTGGTCAGTCAGTAGCCTTTATGGAGACCAGCGTGGTCCTGACACTGAACGCAATGAGGGCGAAAGGGACCCAAACATTTTGGGCGGGCATGTAAAAAGACGCCCACGACAGGGCCTTACATCCCCATGACTTTGTACAAAGGTATAAAGCATTTTTGAAAAGTACTTGATGCCAGTTTCCTAGTCGTCTAAATATTTTCTGATTTATACTGAGTTGGAAGTTGCTTTATATATTTTACTGTGAAGTGCAGGGAGGGCACAACTGAGCAAATCCCCCCCCTGCCACCCAAGACCTGTGACCCGGCTTATTAGCATAAAGCAGTTTGTTGTGTTTTTTTGGCTTTGCAATTCAGCTCAGCTGAAGCGGGAAACTTGTTTTGTGACTCTCTTTGTCCCAGAAGGCCTTACAAACGGTAGTAAAATTTACCCCCCAGCCCCCTGAACTTCAGGTCTCGGATCAGAAGAGCCAGGTCTTCCCATTTATACATATTTGGGGAAAGCAGCGCCGGCCGCTCCCGGCTGTTTACATGGTGAGATTAAAATGGAACGTCCTTCCCAGCATGCCCACTGAGACGGGCCCCTCCTCAGTTTGCTTCTTCCTCGCTCTCTTTACAAAGGGATGGAGGGAGCAGATAGCGCTGACGTCTGTCAGGGTTTCCCCGGTGACAGGTGGGGGAGGGGGCCATATCGCTAGCCTGTTGTCATGGTTAATCAGAGAAGATGAGGGAGGTCATGTGGACAAGGTCATGGATTATGGGCTGGAATTCTTGGAGGGGGGGGGGGTGCTGGGTTCTATGACGGGGGCGTGTCTGGCATCAAACTCAGGGTTGAAATACGGTCACGTGGTGGTGAGCGGGTAGCCAGGGACCGGGCGGCGCCCTCACATGATGGTGACCCTCTCCGGGGACACGTGGGCAGCGGAGCGGACCCCCCCCCGGCGGTGCCTCCAGGCCTCCCAGCCCTGGCGGATGCGGCGCATGCGGCGAGCCAGGCAGGGCAGCAGCAGCAGCCCCTTGCCCAGCAGCACGGCCACGGGCAGGGCCAGCGCCACGGCGAAGCTGGGCGGCAGGTAGAAGCGGTACGACTCCTCCTCGAAGGCCCGGCGCCAGCCGAAGAGCAGCGCGTGGAGCGTGCCGATGAGCAGGGCGATGTAGCCCAGCGTCGACTGGGGAGGGGGGGGCGGGGATTAGTCTGCAGGTCACACAGGCTCACTTGCTTACGTGGGGGTGGGGCTTATGTGTGTAGGTGGGTCAATAGACAAATGAAATGTGGGTTAGGGTTATGGATGCATATTTAACAGACATGGTTACAGTTATGGATGCATATATAATGGATGTGGATGGAGTAATGGGGTATTTTTAACGTGGGTAGTGTTATGAATGCATATATAACATGTGGGTGGAGTCACAGAGCGTGTATAATAGATGTGGGTGAGTTTATGAATGCATATATAACATGTGGGTGGAGTCACAGAGCGTGTATAATAGATGTGGGTGAGTTTATGAATGCATATATAACATGTGGGTGGAGTCACAGAGCGTGTATAATAGATGTGGGTGAGTTTATGAATCCATATATAACAAATGTGGGTGGGGTTATAGATGCATATAAGAAATGTGAGCAGGATTATGGACACATATGACAGATGTGGGCGGGGTTGATGGGAACGTAATGATGCAGGTGGTGTTCATGGATGCATATATAGCCTTTGTGAGTGGAGTTTGGTAATCCCTATGTCACTGATGTGGGCAGGGTTTGTAAGTGTGTATGTCATTTATGCGGGTGGGGTTTGGGAATGCCTATGTAACTGGCATTTATGAGCGCATACAGTGGGGGGGGAGTTAGGATGATTCCTGAGTGACGGGCCATAAAATAATTGGAGCAATATTCGATTGGTCTGGGTTGGGGGGCCAATATGATGACGCTTTCATGGGGTCCAAAGTCTCTAGCGGCACTCCTGGGTGCATGTGTAATTAAAGAGGGTGGGATTTGTCATTGTATGACACCATCACCACATGCTGTTGTTTTTCTGCAGCCACCATCACAGTCCATTACACAGAGATTCTCAGCAAACCAATCAGCAGCAGCGGAAGGCAAGTGTGCCAGCCAATCAGCGGCAGCGGAGGACACGTGTCACACGCTCACCTGGATGAAGCTGAATTCCCGCCAGTTGAGGGCGCTGCTGACGGAAGGGATGGATGTGATGGCCAGCAGGGAGAGCAGGCCCAGGCTCATGACCCCGAAGGAGATGTACATCTCCACTCTCCACACCTCCTCCTCATTCCAAGAGTTCTCCACATTGGCATGGACCTGCAGGAGAAGGTAAGTGAGGCCTGTAGCAGTGTGTATTTTTACTTGAAACTTGAAGCTTAACTGTTTACCATATACTTTGGGCAGAACTGTTAGGAAAATGTCCCCAGTTGCAGAGATTAAACCTACATAATGTAAATTGGTTTGAACAATATAATATTCTGTAATGTTATGTAGTATGATGTCTTTTTATATACATTTGTTATACAGATGTATATTAAATGACAGACGTATCACGACGTGTACTGATGTGTGATAATGTTAAAGCCATGTACCACACTGTGATATGGTTAAATGCTTTGTACTTTGTTGCAGTGTGGTTTAACACCATGCACTGCTCTGCGATGTGGTTTAACACTGAGTACCCCGCTGCGATGCGGTCTGATGCTGTGTACCGCACTGCGATACGGTCTAATGCTGTGTACCGCGCTGCGATACGGTCTGATGCTGTGTACCGCGCTGCGATACGGTCTAATGCTGTGTACCGCGCTGAGATACGGTCTAATGCTGTGTACCGCGCTGAGATACGGTCTAATGCTGTATATTGTGCTGCAATATCGTTTAACACTTTAGCATTTAACGTGACACCCCCCGGGCACGGCAATACCTGCTGGAAGGCCGTGTTCAGCAGCTGGTACCTCTCGGACCTCCGGAGCGGCAGGCACAGGCTGTAGAGCACGTGAACGCAGGCCAGGAAGAAGCCCAGCAGGCCCAGCTGCTTGCGGCTCTGCATCCAGCCCTCCAGCCAGGCCGGGAAGCGACGGTACTTGGTGCCGTGGTAGAGCTGGTGGGCGGCGGCCAGCAGGCCGGCCAGGTAGGCGAGTGCCAGCAGCGTGAGCGCGGCGCCCGGTAGCGTGCGGTTCACCACCTCCACGGGGATCTTGTAGAAGTCGCTGCGTCGGCTGTGTACGTAGGGGTGCAGCACGTCGCGGGTGAAGGAGTAGGCGAAGAAGAGCACGGAGAGCCCCACGGCGGCCAACACGGGGCCGCGCCAGGCGCCGAAGAGCCGCAGCGGCGTGTCCTCGATGTCCCGCGCCGAGCACAGGGCGCCCATGTCCACCGGCTCGAAGTTCAACCGCCGGGCCAGATCCAGCACCTGCCCGCGGGCCTCCACTGAGTCGCCGCAAATGTACACCTGGGGGGATGGGGGTGGGGCTGTTTCCCAGTGTCCATGGAGACATGTCATGTGACTTGTCACCGCAGCGACACTGTATGTCAGTGCTGTTTATACAGCGGGGAAAATAAGTATTGAACGCGTCAACATTTGTCTCAGTAAATATATTTCTAAAGGATCTATTGACATGAAATTTACACCAGATGTCGGTAACAACCCAACAAATCCACACATACAAAGAAATCAAAACAAATAAGTACATAGATTAAGTTAAGGAGAATATAGTCTGGTCAGATAAGACAAAATTAAACTCTTTGTATGTTATAGCACACACCATGTTTGGAGGAGAAATGTCACTGCACATCACCCCAAAAACACCATCCCAACAGTGAAGTTTGGGGGTGGGAACATCATGGTGTGGGGCTGTTATTCAGCATGTGGTACTAGTAGACTTCATATAATTGAAGGAAGGATGAATGGAGAAATGTAGCGAGACATTCAGGGTCCCGAAGATGAAACAAGGGTGGACATTTCAGCAAGGCAATGATCCCAAACACGCAGCCAAGGAAGCTCTCAATCGGTTTCAGAGAAAGAAAATAAAGCTGCTAGATTGGCCCAGTCCACAAGACTTGAATCCAGTTGAAAATCTATTGAAAGAACTAAAGATCAAAGTTCATAGGAGAGGCCCTATAAACATCAAGATTTGAAGACAGTTTGTGTGGAAGAATAGGCCAAAATCACACCTGAGCAATGCATGCGACTAGTTTCTCTATACAGTAGGTGTCTTAAAGCTGTCATTACCAACAAAGGCTTTTCTACTAAGTATTAAATAAATTTAGCGTGTTCAATACTTATTCCCTGTGTCATTTCACTTTATTTCACATAACTTAATCTATGTACTTATTTGTTTTGATTTCTTTGTATGTGTGGATTACTTGGGTTGTTACCGACATCTGGTGTAAATTTCATGTCAACAGATCCTTTAGAAATATATTTACTGACAAAAATGTTGACGCGTTCAATACTTATTTTCCCCGCTGTATCTGCGCAGTCCGACAAGGCTTCACAAGCTTCGAACTTCAGATCCACAGATTTAATGGAAATAGTGTCTGATGAATTTCACTACAGAGGTTTCTAAAGCATCCATCCATCCATCCATCCATCCATCCATCCAAACCTCAGGCTAAGCATTGAAACACCCTGTCATAGAGCCCACTATTTAAAGAGGAGGAGAGAGTATTCTTTGATTATGATGCCATGTGAAGTTATGGATCAGCTAGTCTATAATGCTGGCAAATTATCCATCCATCCATCCATTCATATGTAATCTATGTAGGGCTGGAACGATTATTCAACGTAATCGACAATGTCGATTATAACGTCGACGTGGAATTTTAGTGTCAACGCGTTGTTTAAAACTATGTAAATGTTTTGTGATAAGTGATAAGCTACACGTATTGTAAGGGAAAGCTCTTTATCCCCTCGGAAGCACGTTAACGCTGTCCTTTTTAAGAATCGCGCAATAAGACAATCTGCTAATAACTGAACTTCACAGTCCACCTGATGATCTCTTTGCCACTCGAGAGCTACAATATTTTACCTATTGGACCTGTGGCATGGTTTTCATTTAAAATACAAAGTTATTCCGCTAATAAGCTGGCTAGTTGTTTCACTGCTGGCACCGTTAAAACTATATCAATTATAGATTCCGATATAGTTTTGTCTAATATCGCCAGTGCCAACAGTGCCACACTGTTTTGTAAGGCATGCACTGGCCAATCATGTAGCACTTCTCTCATAAATATTAATGAGACATCTCCTACCCCCCTGCAAAAAGGAAATTTAAATGACTAACTTGAAAATAATTGCTTATCAATAAATCTATCCTCAGATCAATCGAAAAATTAGTTGTTAGATTACTCGAATAATCAAAAATAAATAAAATAATCGCTAGATTAATCGTTTAAAGAATAATCGTTTGGGACAGCACTAAATCTATGAAACCTCAGAATAAGCATCCAAACAGCCCCATAGTCACAGAGGAAGACGAGAGAGCTGTCTTTGCTTTGATTATGATGCCATGTGGAGTTATGTATCAACTAATCTATAATATGGGCAAATTATCTATCCATCCATCCAATGGTCTAATAAAGTGCAAAAATCTGCAGTATTTTTACACAGATTATATCTTTCTATCTCCCTGCATATCCTGGTGAGGCTCACACAGGCACAATGCTGGGCTTCACCCTGAACACAGTGTATTTCACATACACTCCTTACATGTCTCATGCTGTGTTAATATGTGCTGTGTAATTATATATGAATCATTAATGATCTGAAGCTAGATGGGCAATGCTTATTTTAGCCATGATTGAACATGGTGGACGTGCTCCCATCCCACGGTTTCCCACCTTCCTGCTGGCCTCTCTGGGTCCAGACTGCATGGCCCAGGAGGAGATGACGTTGAAGCCCTTGACCACCAGGGAGTCGGGGAAGAGCGAGGCCAGGTACTCTGCGTTGGACTCGGGGTACTGGTTGGGCCGGCTGTTGTTGCTGACGTCCACCAGCACCTTGGCAGCCAGCAGGTGGCGCAGCCCCCACAGTGAGGCGTAGTGCTCCCTCCGCACCGCCAGGAAGACCACATCGGCCTTGGCGATGGCGTCCTCGTGGTGCGTCACGTCCACCACGTGCGGGAAGGAGTCGGCTGCCCGGCGCGGCTGCCTGCTGCCCACCGCCACGCGGTACCCGCAACGGAGCAGCCGCAGAGCCAGGCTACGGGCGAAGTCACCCGATCCCAGGATGGCCACCACAGGTCTCGCCGGCGCCCCCTTGGGGCCATTCTTGGTAGAGTCAAAGAGGAACGTGTCCTTGGAGCTTGGAGAGCTGCCACTCAACATGGAGATGGCCTCCATCATGTAGTCCTCTGGGTAGCGCAAAGGTACAAATTAGAGCGACTCACCATGGCTGTGATTTAGAGCTGGGTGTGCAATTTATCAAATTGGTATAGAAATATCTTTCTGTATTTTATCATACCCACTCAGAGCAAGAGGCAGAGGCGATTAAGGACAGCAGTGTGGTGCCTCCTGGGACAATAACTAGCGGCTTTGTGACATCCTGAGATATAATTTTAAATTTCTGGATTCACCAAGGACGCTGCTGTGGGTGACAGTGCGTCTCACACCGGCGCCTAACATTAGCGTCTGCGTCTTCTCCTTGTATAAATCATTTTATTTATTTATTTATTTTTTGTGCCAGCAATCGCTGAAATCACATTTCTGCATTTCAATCAACTCCGCGTTTTTATGCTTTTTCTTAAAAACGATTCGGTTCAGGAGAAACTTCTCCAAATGTGGATGATGCTTGCGCGCTGGCGTTCATGTTTGCTACACCCTGTAATGGCACCTTGTTCACTGCATACTTTATACCGGCGAAATATTAACCGATAATTTTACCTTGTGGTATTTACAGATCACAGAAAACGCGCATTATATGTCGAGCTCTGTGCATTAAGGACATGTCTTAAGTCAATTGACGTATTGCTAGTTTCCATGTTACTGGACCTGTTACTGTAAGCGTTTACAAGGATGCGAATCCACCAGTAAAATGCATATTATTTGTGGTCACTATAATATTTAGATGCACATACGCCAAAAAAGAAACACTGCGTGTATTTTGTTTGTTCGTGGTCCCGATTATACAGACAATATGAGAGACCCCGCACATTAGACGATATTTTCATTTATTAATACGACGCTTCTGATCGAGGCGCGGGCTCGTCATCCTGTCTGCATCGACTCTTTCATATGTTTAACGGACTGAATGCAGCCTCCTTCTCCTTACCTTGCTGATGCCCTGCCCTTGGCGGCCGGATTGCTCAGCATGCAGAAGGCGACGGCATTGCGCCCGGTCACGTCCCCCGTGTGGGCAGATGCTGCGCGGCTCCCGCTCACAGCGCCACCCCTTGCATCACAAGCAACTGCAAGCGCATCTGCTCCGAGACGTGGGAAGGCGACGTGGTTATTTTATGCAGATTTCTAGGGGCCTGAAAACCAACTTAAATGATGTAAATCGTTTCCCCTGCTCCACCTTATTCGTGTGTACTGCTGTCTTAGAAATTTTTAACCTGGAAGTAAACCTGCTACACGAACATAATCCTGTATAATAAGTAGGATAATTATATCCAGGGAGTGACATAGCACAACTGATACGCAAAAGATTTTACATGCCTCTGCGCTGTTATGACAGGAAATTACCGCACATTTGAACCTTAATACAGCGAATACGTGATTCATTAAAATGCACGGTAATTTCTTGTCATAGCAACGAAAATTTTGATATCTTAAGATATGAATTTGACTGCCACAGAAACAACTGCTAGACAGAACGTGACGCAACAAATACACACTGATAAATAACAGGAACAGTAACCAACTAATAACTTTGAATCATCAAAGAAACGCATCACTGTACAGTGCTTTTAATGGATGTCTCGTCTGTAGGCCGCAGCGTTTACTCTCTTCGCATTTTCTCCCCATGATGTACTTCAATAATGCATTAGTTTGCTGTTTTTTTCCCCATAAGAGGGCAGTGCTGCAGAAACACTGTGATCTGTGCTCAAACTTAAAGGTTCTTTCAGAATCCCAACAGTGTTTTTGATTCATCAGGGGATCTGAAAGTTTTAACACCTTTTAGGGGGGAATAGAGCCCCACAAAATCCAGAGGATAGTGGCCAGCCAGGTGACCCAAGGGGGGGCTTTCCCTCCCAGAACACAAGCCATAAGGAGGGGAGCCGATATTTACAAGGCATTTTATGTTCAGAAAAAAAATGAGAATAGCATCTGATTTTGTATTTATTTCACTGTTTTGGTCTTTATCATTTGTTGCAGACATCATGTATATTTTGTTTATTGTATCCCATCAGCTTTCTGCTATAAATCTGCTTCATCTGTGGACAAAAGCAAAAATCTAACAAGTCTAAATGGACACAGAGATTCATTCTCAGTATAACTGCTCTCTCCTACCAGTCTACCTTCTATATAATTTCTCTTTCCATCCATTTTCTATACTGTGTCCCATACAGAGTTGTGGGAGACTGGAGCCTATTGTAGAAGCTGCCCAGGATGGGGTGCCGACCCATTGCAGGGCACACTGACACTCACAGTCACCCTGATACTGACACTGACACTCACACTGACACTCACAGGCACACTGACACTCACAGGCACACACTGATACTCACACTCACACTGACAATCACAGGCACACTGACACTCACAGTCACCCTGATACTGACACTCACACTGACACTCACAGGCACACTGACACTCACAGTCACACACTGATACTCACACTCACACACTGATACTCACAGGCACACTGACACTCACAGTCACACACTGATACTCACACTCACACTGACAATCACAGGCACACTGACACTCACAGTCACACTCAGATCTAAGGACGAGCTGGTAACTCCAATTAACCTCAGCATGTTTTTGGACGTTGGGGTGAAACCGGAGTACCTGAAGGAAACCCCAGAGCGATTTGGGGGAACATGCAAACTCCACCACATGAAGCTGGGGCAGAGACTCAAACCTGAGACTCAGAGGTGTGAGACACCAGTGTTAAGCACTGTGGCAACTCCCCCCCCTCTCAGATCTGACCAGTTCCGGGTGTTTTGTAGGGTTGATAGAATGGTGATGTGCTACCATTCAACACACTTTTTTAGATTCATCTTTATCATCATTCTGCAAAGTACAAGTACTAACAGAAAAATGCACCTTGACATTTAAACCAAAAGGTGAAAAATAGATGAAAAGGGCAAGAAATAGCAGTACAATGTATAGATGTGCAATTAATAATTTGTTAGAAAATGTACATCTATACTCTTTCTTATTTGTAATACAAAATGAGAGGGCAGAACTGAGGTAACTTGTGTGCTTTTGAAGACAGAAATGTCTGTGTTTGTGTTGCCAGAGGGATAAATATTCCTGTTTGCATGTGTGTCACTGTCTGTAAGTATATCACAGATCTGAGAGAAATGCTTATGCATACAGTATAGGCTGTAAACCCTCATGCTCATGCATTTTAGTCTCTGTAAATGTTACGTTCCGCCTGCTGTCAGGTGCAGCATAAACGGACTCAGACCCGGGATGGCTCGATTGTCAGGGGTAATTTATTAACAAAGAGCACAAACAGGAGAGAACATAACAGAAAAGGACAATGAGACACTGATGCAGAGCCGAAGCCGGCGTGGTGGCTGCCACAGGATCCATTCCTCCCCCCTTAGCCGGGAACCCACCTTATAGACCAGGGATGGGCAAACTACGGCCCGGGGGCCGTATGCGGCCCGTTAAGCTTTTTAATCCGGCCCCCCGAATTAGAATCAATTATAATGGTAAACCTTGTTAATGTTTTACTTTCCCTGCAATTGTGGCGTTTCTCGATAGATGGGACACTCTGATACACTGACCTTTGTTGAGGTGCGTTGTCTTATGCTGCATTCAAGTGGTGTCGGAAGATCCGTCTTGACGAGTTGTTTTTCCCAGTGGGAAAGTGATATTTACGATCATTCCGACACCGTATGAACGCATCATTACACAGCATTTTCCCTCTTTGACAGTTCAACCTGTGACGCCCGGCTCTTTTTTTTCCGAAATTGGGATCATGGGCGTAAATCCCGGGGGGGACGGAGGGGACATGTCCCCCCCTATCCGAGGGTTGTCCCCCCAAAAAAAATTATAAAAAAAAAAAATTGCACTATCTATTGTGAAAAATATATGTATGTATAACTAAAATAATTCTGTAAGTAGAAAAAAAAAACAAACGCAAAAAATGTATTTAAAGAAACAGTTGAGTTCCCCCTCCCCTTCCTCACAGTGGTTTGGCCAACTGCCTGCTTTCCCAGGTCATCTCACCTACTCTACACACACGAATCAGGTGTGTG